ACAAGATGATCCTTACTTAATTCCAAGATCAATGTGCTCCTGAATACCAAACCCAAAGCAGCCGGTCTCACTGAAGTTCCTTCTCAACAACTCATATTCCTTAACTTTCAATCCACTCTCAAGTAGCTGCATAGCTTTCTCCCCTCTGACAGTTACATAGCAAGCTATCTTTTCATTACGCCTGATTCCGAAAGACCGCACAGTATACCTTGCTGTTAATGAGAACCAAGCAAGCACGTGAGAGATTAAATAGTTTTCTTGATAAAGCAGGGGAAATCTGAGATAAATACAACCTCAGTTAAAGAGTCGGTAAAAAAGTAACAAAACAAATCACTGGAAATTCCATTCACCAGCTATTTTACCCGTATCATTGTATGAACAATAGCAGGACACTAGTTAGTTATCCATAATACGTCACAATATAAAATTGTGAGTAACACTGGCACCAACATCTACCAAAAATTATTCGCATGCCTTGTAGCTAAAAGAAACATATCAAGTATAATTACAAAAAAATCAACCAAATAAGTTACTCCCTCCGTTCCAGTTTATGTGAACCTATTTCCTTTTTGATCCGTTCCAAAAAGAATTGACCCCTTTCTAAATTTGAAAACACTTTAGCTTAAACTTCCAATTCTACCCTTAACGAGAAGCTTTTATAACCACACAAATACTATAGACCCATTTTTGACTTGTTTAGGATCACAAATTTCAAAAGTTTCATTTTTTCTTAAACTCCGTGCCCAATCAAACAGGTTAACATAAATTGGAACAGAGGGAGTAGTAGTTATTCAAGGTCTAGTCTAACTGCAGAAAAAAAGGGGCTTGTCTACATGCATATAGGTCGAATTAAACATAGATTACTCCCCATTACCCGACATCTAAACTGCCATTAGTCAATCAACCAACTATGCCACAATGCAAAAACTAATTGGGTTCGGCTACATGAATTTTTGCATCCGTTTCTTTCTGTTCAACATTTAAACTAAAACTAATTAAAAATTAATGCTAAATTAAAACAAATTCGCGGACCAGCAACATGTTCTTCGCGTAGAGCTAAAATTTCCAAGAACCGACAATGTACTTAATAAAAATGTGCCAATTAGATAAATATTCAAGAGCTTTACCCTTGGAGAAAACAGGGGATTGGCCGCTGAGCTGCTCCAAGACCTTAAGCATCAAAACGGAAGTAGACCCAATTTTAGTTTCAATATAATGAAAAAAAAGAAGAGGGAAATTACGAAAAAGGGGTCACACCTTAGCTGCTCTGGTGAGACGATCTCCGCTCTCACCGACGGATATGTTGAGGACGAGCTTCTGGACCTTAATTTCNTTGAGAACGAGCTTCTGGACCTTGATTTCTCTCATGGGGTTGCTCAATTTCTTCTCTGAAGCCTGCAAAACCAAAAATGCTATTAATTTAAAAGTCACATATATACATATTTTTTTGGCACATATATACATATGATTAAACATTAATACTCATGAAACGGAAATGTCTGAGAGATAGATACCATGGCGCTTCCGCTGGAAGATGTTACAGCAGCAGTAGCTGGGAGAGTTGTTGGGGTACTGAGATGGCGGAAAAAAGCCCTAATCGTAACTAACTTAATAAATGGTACGATATGGGCCGCAGCTTGCGTCGGGTTGTGGCCATTTTCAGAATATGTTGGTAAAAAAGAAAAAAGAAAATATCTACTAAATTACATCCCGAAAATGAACGTTTGTCCACCAAAAAATTAATGGTCATGTTATAAAATAAAAGCAATGCACTAAAATGTAAATAAGAAGAGATATAAAGAAGCAAGAAGTCTTTTCTTCTTTCACTTTGGTGTATCTTTCTATTGCAATTATATAGCCTTTTATAAGCATAAAAAGTAAAGATGATGGACATAAAGTAGAAGATTTAATTTTTAAGCTATTCACAACATGAACATCTAATGTAGCATCCAATGCACAAATTATTTATAACACTCTCCCTTGGATGTCCATGTAAGATAATGTGCCTCATTAAGAACTTACAAAAAAATATTGGGATGTACATAGTTATTTATAATATGCATTGCTTACTGCCTCATTAAAAACCTTATCAGGAAGCCCCAGTGGGACAAAACCTTGGTTAAGGAAAAGAGTGCAGCATGTAGTTACTCCCCCTGATGAAAAATCACTTAATGTCTCGACGACACATTCCAATCTTATATATCAGCTTTTCAAATATTGAGGTCGGTAATGCCTTAGTGAACGGATTAGCCAAATTATCACTTGAACAAACTTGTTGTACATCTATTTCACTATTCTTCTGAAGATCATGAGTGAAAAAGAATTTCGGTGAAATGTGTTTTGTTCTATCTCCTTTGATATATCCTCCTTCCAATTGAGCTATGCATGCATCATTGTCTTCATACAATATTGTTGAAATATTCTCTTTCGAAGAAAGGCCACATGTTTGCCGAATGTGTTGAGTTATCGATCTCAACCAAATGCATTCTTGACTTGCTTCGTGAATGGCTATTATCTCTGCATGATTTGAAGAAGTAGCAATCATAGTTTGTT